GTTGAGTCGATCGATCAAGACGTTTAAAGTTTTACACTCAGTGCTTTGTATCAGTGAGAAACGCTATGTTTTCTGTTACGTAGCTGTATTAAACAAACTGATTTCGTTATCACGGCAAGACTTGCGTTTGAGGTGAATACTATCGAGGCGCGTTAGCTGAACGTGTTAATTGCCTCCATTATCTGCATAATGTTAGCGTATTCATGAGAGTTGCATTACATTCTTTGCAAGGTACTAATTGTACGTAAATATCTCTCGGGCTGCATTAACTGCGAGTAACTTCTTTTAATTGTTGTTTAATTCACACAAGCGCATGGCTGATACAGCGCCAGCGTAATGTTCCGCTAATTTCACCGTGCGAAAATGATCGGTAGAACTCTAATTTGTCGCAAATTCAAAAAGCAATTTGGACTTCTCATCTCGATTGTTTTCCTCGATAATTTTCAAAGTTTCTAACGCTACGCACTCATTCCCGTATTGAGCGTCCACGTGATCAGTGCCGAGCAAAACGTCTTCTTACATATCTACAGGGTGATGGTGTTGTAAGCTTCAGCTCATTTGGAGTAATCAGTAATCGTACTACCATTTGTTTTATTGTATAACGTACGTATCTAGTATCGTAATGCTTTTTCACAGTGAGCCAATTAGATATCTGCGCGTAGATACCTTAATTTTCTTTTTTTTTTTGTTTTTGAGAGCGATTGTTCTTGCATGTGAGGAAACTGAGCTAGTGCTGAGGAGGTGTAACGTTTGGAGAGACAGTTCTAATTCCAAATTACTTCGACTGCGTAAATGATTCGAAATATATGATTGTCTGTAAAGGAAACTCGAGGGAAATCGCTGCATAAGCAGCTACTATTGTGCATTGAAGTATTGGATGTGTAGTTGCTATGTGGCTTTAGTGCGGTTCCATTTTTTAAGTTTTGCATCAAGACGAAGTAGCGAAGTTTGGACGTACATGTCATAAACCACATTGAAAAAACTCACGCATCTGAATATCGAGGTATCGAGGACTCGAGTGGTATTGAGTACTCGGATGCACGGATCCTTGTAGTTTTTATGAAAATCTGAACGATTGTCCTAGATAGAAGTGTGTACGCGGATACCAAATACACAATTTACCATTGATTCTCAGACTCGGAGATAATTCAAATTAATGTTGGATGGAAAAAATTAAATTGATTATATATGAAAGTGATTTGAGACCGATTGCTGGAGAAATAAATCTGTAGAGATTTCGCTCTTCACTTCTCAGAGATAGATTTTTTGTTTCGCAGACGTTAGCCGCATTCTAATGCTCTGTGTTTTTCACTCTCCGCGATCGGTTTCGAAATCCGCGTCGAAATCTGGTATGACGGAAAGAATGCGGTTCTAACAAAGGGCGTTTTTGATTTCAGACTACTATGGAGGAGGTGGCACGAGGTGATCCAAAGCAATCGTCGTTGCTGCAGAAGCTACTGTCCGAGTGACTGCAGGCCACCATCCCGTTACGCAGTAAAGGATTATATGTAATATATGTTTGAGTGTGCGGAGAGCGAAACGGAGATGTAGGACGTAAAAAAGGTAAAAGAGAGTGAGAGTGCGAGAGAAAGAGAGGGAGAGAGAGGGAGTGAAAGAGCGTGGATGAAAGGGAGAGAGAGAAAGAGAGAGTTACAAAACGCATATACACTCTTATACGTAATGGATACTATTGTATTATATGTAACGCCACACCACGGAGTCAGTATTCATATACGTATCACCAAATACAATGCAAAATTAGTGCGCGGTGCTCTCTAGAACATTTGCCCGTTGATAAGTCCGAGGATGAGAAACGAGCGAGCGGGAGGAAGAAAGAGCGAAAGAGAGACAGAAAGTTCAAGGTAGAGATAGAAAAAAAAGGAGGGAGCAGCGGGACTTCTTCCCTTTCCTTTTGTTTTTTGAACACGAAGGACCAAAAGTTTCCGTTTCCGTTTGGCTGTGCCGAGACTTGCTGGCTACAGGGTCGCCAGGAGTATCGAGGTCGCGAAGTATTATCGCGACGTAAAGAGAATCGATTCGCGATGTTCGTTCTTGTCGCTTTTTTTCGGGAAAAAAGTCTTCTTCCCGTCGGGCTCGTTTCGGCTTCGGACGACCGGAGATATACGTCGTATCGTATACCGGAATATGACATACGATACGACGATCACAGGTATATGAACGAGATAAGCCCACATCCGCATTTTACCTGTCGATAGATGTGTGTGTATGTATGTACGTATGTATGTGCAAATGTGTGTTACGTTTGTGTGTGTGTGTGTGTGTGTATGTCGCGTTCTCCGTCAGTATTGTATTTGGTATATCAAGAATGGAAAAAAAGGAAGAGGAAACTATATTGTAGGTACCTCAAAAAAGGTATACTTTACTATACCACTGGCTGTTGAAGATAGATACTATTTATAGGATTTAATTATTGTACACAGAGGAAAGAAGAAATAGAGCACTCTATTCACGTATTCTCCTTAATTTAACATCCTTTTCGACTATTACATTTATGAATAATATATTTGTGATTGTAAGAATCTGCAACCAAATTTTGACAAAGAATACTTGTTGTTGTTAATATGATTATAACGATTATTATATTGTAATAACTATTAATTATTTTATTTTATTTTATTATTATTATATTATTATTATTATTATTAATATTATTATTGACATTATTATTATCACTATTACCAATATTCTTGTTGCAATTACTATATTATTATAATAGTAAGGATAATAATAATTATTATATTATTTTATTATTATATATCAATATTGATATTATTGAACACTTGGAATATGCATATTTCTATTCAATAGTAAGAGTACCTTTATATATATAAATATAAATATAAATATAAATATATTGTATAAATGTATATGTATATATATGTATAGTGGGTTTATGTACGCGTTATATATAAATAATAGAAGCGGACATTATTTATGTATAATCGATATATAAATTGACGTATATTTATATATCTATACATGCGAGATGAAGAAAGAAAGAAAGAAAGAAAATCGATCTTCTATTTTGCATAGCTCGGTAATGATTCTCTTTTGGGTCTTAGATGCACACTAAATTACTTCTAAATGACATCTGTTGTTATATAAATGAGGAAAGAAGAAATCTTCTAATTACACTTTACACGCGTATACACGCACACCGATGCTACGCGCCTGCTGTTGTGTATGTATGTGTGTGTATATGCGTGTAATACATACATATGAAAGAAATCTCACGCAAGTGTCTTATTTTTCCAGGAAGTTCACCACTTATTAAAAAGTTGGAAGAAATTGCTACTAGAGGTTTTGAACGCGTGTGATGATGAATTTTCGGTGTACGCGAATTGAGCAACGTCGGCGATTTTTTTTTTTTTCTCTTTTTATAGGCGGAACGTTGTTTTAATGCGAAAAATGGATTAAGTTTGGGAAAGTGTCTCTCTTTTCCATTTTCCTTTCGGCCGTGATTTCCAAATGTGATTTTGACGGACGCGCTTGTGGCAATTCTAGTAGTTATTCGGCATATATTATTATATTTATATCGTTATACGCGTCCGTCGAGTGCTATTTTTTTTAAATTTCGAAAGTCTTTTATCGAAGGGAAAAGGGATTGAGTTTATATTGGATTATTTATGAGAGTTAGTTCGTATGTATCGTTTAGTGTCGGATCTGCCGGAGTATGTACATAATGGAAAAATAAAAACGTATTTGTTCGTTTGTGTGTGTCTAGTAAAAACGGATGGGGTATCCGCGCGCGCACGTTGTTGTTGCTTTCGTTGCCTCTCTGATATTTTGTACAGCATAAAATACGTTTTGTTTCATGACGCGAGGAAGCGAGTATAACGACGACGGCGGTGAATTAGAATGCTGAAGTGACGTTGATACTGTGATGACATTAATACTTGGCCTGCTCGTCCCCTGTTGCTTTTTCTTCCAATCGAAAACAGTTATAAAGTTGTAATCTTCGTAAAAAAAACACATCCGTGAGGTACTCTGAATATGTACACGTACATACATAGGCATGTACTCGCCTGTGAACGCGGATACGTATATTACGCGTACGAGAGAGAGAGATAGTAAGAACGAAAGAGAGAGAAAGAAAGAGAGAAAAACAAAAGTGTGAAAAAGGAAGAAAGAAAGAAAGAAAGAAAGAGAGAAAGAGAACACAATTAATACGCACGTACATGTTGTGTATGTCCGCGCGTGTGCGTGCTTATGTAGGATGCGAGACGAAGCGTCGTGATGTTACGCGGGTGGTATGTATGCGTGTGTGCGTGTGGGTGCATGCGTTGTTCGTAGGCACGCTCGTACGCGGGTGTGCGTAGCAAATTACGTCATATAGATAGATCATATGTGCTTTCTAATGATGAATAATTTTATAAATATAAATATAATACCGATCTCTCACCGTGTACGTTCATTTCGATTACGATGAGCTTGTATGTGAACTTCGCATGCCTGAGGAAGGCCCGTTCGCTTTTTATTAAACTGTCACATGATTTCTTTCCGATGTTGCTTCTTCAGTTAACTGTTTTTTTTTCCAAATGCCATGCAAACATTTTCAAAGTATCCTTAACATTTTTCTTTCCTCTGATTACTCGTTCTATGTTACTTTTAGACATGTCTTTACTCAAAAGTTCAGTGTGATATTATTTTTAGATTTAATTTAGTCTAATTTGAATACTAACATAAGATACGCCTTTGTTTCTTATTCACCGAAAATGAAGCAGAAATTAATTAACTTTACTAAACCTGAGGTTTATTTATTTTAAGAGATTACATATTGTTTTATATTTTCTAAGTAATTACTCTTTTCGCGTCTTGTTAGCGATGATAAGAAATAAATTGGAAAATATGGACATTACACAAATAAAATAATGTAGCTTATTTTTTTACTTTTACTTATTAAGCTGCTAAAATTTAATTAGAATTTTTATGAGGAATCGTGTATATATATATATATAAATGTTTCGAAAAGACCTCGATCAGCTTATACAAAAGGATCTTTATTTAATGCGATACATAGATAATAGTTACAGTAGCGATATACAACGTTAATTTAATTATTATAATTATCATATTATCATATTTTAAATCGCGTAAATCGCGTCGGCGAGCGTGATGTTATTGGCAGTTTGCGAAGGCCGGACGCGATAGATTTTTTTCTCTATTTGGCATAAGGCAGTTATATGACTTCATGGCAGCCGGCGGCGCTTTTTATCGCGCGCGCGGGAAGAGACGGGGTGGTCGGAGCAGGGTGTAGACTCCGTACATACAGGATAGGAACGAATAACACTGACAAACTCTAAGAAACGATAAAAGCGTCGAAGATAAGGATTTTGAGATAAGTAGCTCGGGTCTTCGTTCAACAGCAGTCACAGTGAACAACAAGTTTCTCAAGCTTTCTCAATCTTGTTTGATCAGCCCGTTTTTTCTGTTTTAGTTTCCGCGTGGAAAAAACGCATCCGATAAACTGAGAGATACGGAAAAGTGCTCAACTCAATTTGTACACTTTAGAGTCTTTAATTTAAAAACAGACAATTTTTATTGAAAAGATTTTTTTCTTTCCAAGCGACATAACAGACTAATAGATAATTAAAGAGTAAAAGAATTAATAATTAGAGATATTTCTTCGCGCGTTTTCCAAATTTACATGCTGTCTGGATTATTTCAAGCTTTTTACTGCCGTTTCCAAATATTCATCTTTGTTATTCGTCTCCGCCTGATGTAAAAGATCTGTGCACCAAAGCACCCGACCAATATATAACTTAATTAATAAAAAAAAAAGTTTTTCGCTTCTTTATATACATAAACTCGTCGCTATGTTCTCGCACGTCACTGGCGTCGCCTTCTCTCAATGTATTTGCAATTTGTGCTGTTTCTATTCGATGAAATTAGGCGACTCTGTCGGTCGTTCGTCGGGTCTACCGCGCAGGCGATTTCTTCTGCGATGCTGAGGGGATACGCCTCTGTAGTTGGAATATCTTCCCCGACTGGGCGTTCTGAGGAGTTGGTAGTTAGGCGGAAAGCGGGGCCGCGCATAGTAGACGTTGTTCGGGGTCTGTTCGTTGGTTAACTGCCTGAACGCACCTCTGCTGTGGGATTCGTCGGTGACACGTCTGCGGAGGCACACGGTGCAGCGACTCACCCGCGACGTATGGTCAGCTTTGAGCGTCTGCTGCCGCGGTTTGCGGAACATCTCCTCGTCGCGGATAGTCGCCAACCAGTACGATGTTGCCGTGGAGAAGAAATTGCAAGTGCCGAGACCGCGACACTCGATAAACGGTCTAATGCGGAATTCCTCCAAGCAGGACCCGGGCGAGACTAGAGACTGGCCGCCGCCGTCAGCGCCTGCGTCTCTATGCTGTCGTTGTAAAAGAAGAATATTATTTAGAAAGTTATTCATTATTTTACATTCCAAATCATTTTTTAAAAGGTGGGAAACGAGAAGAAATTTTCCTAAGAATTAATAACGCACAGATTAAGAAAGAAAAGGCACACAAATAATATGTTTTTTTTTAGATTTTTGGCTTTGAAAATTATCGAGTTAAAATTATATAAGATTGAATTACATTAAAACTAAAAATATAAATTTTTCTTGAAGTCTATTAAAAATCAAAATTTAAATAACACTGAGTTTTTGTGCAATTAAAATGCTTATATCAAGTTTTAGCTACGCATTATCTTAATTGAATCTTTATCGGAGTTTGTCTAATGTCTGATGATTGATCTCACCATGAGGAAACTATATCCGACCCAGATTTCCTCCCAGCCACCTGGACATTCAGGTATCGCCATGGATTGGCTGTGGACAGCTATTACTCTGGTCGGCGCCTCGCACACGGAGCATCTCGATATATATCTGCCAACTTCCGGACTCGGTATCGGTGTCATCATCATCGGCATAGGCTCGGTCGTGCTGAGCCAATAGCTATAGTCGTTACGATTGGCATAATCGCACACGTTGTTCAAGTTACAGAATAGGAAGGGCATAACGGAGAATTTCCTGATGCAGCTGCCAGCAGCACCTGAATGCCAGAAGATTACATTCAAATCATGCATATCTCTATAACGTTAGTCTTCGCGTTTTTAAATCTTTCCTACTTAAAAATTCTTGACATTTATCATACATCATTAAATTTGATTGTATTTTACAAGGCAATGTTTATAAAAGTCATAGAATTCTTTATTTCAAGAAATATATTTATAAGATAAGTTTATTAAGTTATATATTATTGAATTTTTAATACGTATTATTATTATTATTATTTATATAAAAAAATGATTACACTCCGTACTACTCACCGAGATCCTGCGCGTAGGCTCGTCCATTACCCATAGTGTGCAACAGAGAGAATCCTTCCCAAATCTTTACGGTGTTCCTCGGACACTGCGGTATCATTTCGGACTGCGAGTGACGAGCGAAGTAAAAACCTCGGTTTCTCGGACCGATTCCATTCGGCGCAGGTGCACCAGGTGCGCCGGGGAATCCTGTGAGAAATTGTGTCTTAATGTAATATAATCAAAAGATAATCGATATGAATTTTTTATAATTTTATTGTGATTGAAAACAAAGTTATTATTTTTACATTTAATAAATTCCAAATATGTGTATATTCATACCTGGTGGTCCTTGGCGTCCAGTTGTTCCGGAAGGTCCTTGATATCCGGGAGGCCCGTCTTTACCGTCCGGTCCTTGCGGTCCAGGGATACCGAGTATACCTCTTTCACCCTGTCGTCCAGGCAGACCATCCTTGCCAGGCTCACCCATCATTCCCTGCAGTCCAGGGAAACCTGCATATTCATACAGTTTTACACTTCCGCTCGACAAGATATTACTATGTTATTTTATTTTCGTAGAAAGATGGGTAAGCACCTGGTAATCCGAGAGCTCCCGTATCACCGCGATGTCCTGGTCTCGGGAAAGGTGGGAAAGGATTTAAACCGGGTTCTCCTTTCGGCCCCTAACAAAAAGCGTGATTTACATTCACTTTAAGCTTGTCTTTCGATTTATTTATGCTAATCGTACAAAACAGTTAAATTAAAAAAAATATTTGTAAGATTATTTTCATTATATTTATCTAAAGTACTTTTAATTATCTAAGAATAAAACTATAAAAAAATGTATGTAAATTGACAGATTCGTGAAACTCACCTGCGGTCCTGTAGGACCAGGAACGCCAGACGGGCCAGACTCGCCAGGTTCTCCCCTTTCTCCTTTCGATCCTGGCAATCCGTCGATGCCGGGTAAACCAGATTCACCTTTTATTCCCTTTAGACCTGGTCGGCCATCCAGTCCATGCCAGCCGGGTTCACCAGGCTGTCCTTTCGCGCTGATCGCCGATACTCCTGGTTCTCCACGATCACCTTTTGAACCTCGCGCTCCGGGGAAGCCTGGCATTCCTTCCATACCTGGTGCGCCCGGGAAGCCAATGAATCCTCTGGGACCTAATTAGAACATAGAACGATAAATGAAAAAGTTTCATATTTTTCTACAAAAAAATAAAATTTTTTAAAGACAGACGAATTAAAAGAATAATTGAATTGATACTCACCGAACGAGAGATGTCAATTAAAAGTGTTAAAAGTATCGATTTTTTTATGCCTTCTTATTTCAATTAAAAAAAGAACATTAATCACAATGATAATATATACCTGCGTCTCCTAAGGTTCCTTTAGGACCGCGAATGCTGTGACCTATGTCACCAGAGATTCCTTTAGGTCCGTTCAGACCATATTCACCAGGAGCTCCCTTCTGTCCCGGACGTCCTGGAAGGCCAGGCAAACCGTCCAGACCAACGCGACCGGGTTCACCTGGTTCGGCAAATTCATCAGCCAAGCCTGTGAATAAAAAAGTGAAAATATATAAATATGCTGTAAGCGATATAAATAAATTTTTTGCTTTTTTTGCTCTTTCAACAATTTCTTTATAAATTGAGCTTGCAATATCAAACTTAATTAATGAAATACAAGTATTTATACGCACCTGGAGCTCCGCGAGGTCCTTGATCGCCTGGCAAACCGGGGAAACCGGGTAATCCTGTGAAACCGACGGAACCTGGATATCCTCTGTCTCCAATTTGACCCTATAACGCACGAATAAATAATTTCTTCTCAAATTAAGTTATGACAATTCTATTGTCATTCTTTAATCACCTTACGACCGGGTAATCCGATGTATCCTGGTTCACCCGATTGTCCTTTTGGACCGGGGAATCCATCATGACCGCGATTACCGCTATCACCCTTCCCCGCGAATGCGTAAGACGGTAAACCAGGTTCGCCTACTTGACCCTTTGGTCCGGGGGCACCCAGGATACCCGGAGGTCCTCTCACACCCGGCTCACCCGGCATTCCTGATGTAAAATATTTAAATATTTTAATTCTTCTATATTGAGTGGAATATTTTTTATTATAATTTGATATTAGAATACTAGAATAGCATCTTATTTTGCTTTATTACAAAATGCGAACGTAAATTGTGTACAACAAATTGTATAAAACATTAAAAAATATATATTATTGAAAAATAACAATAAGAAAAAGCTCTGACTTTCAATTATAAAACGTAAAGATATTAAAGTGTAATTGAATCAATGCGTGTTAATTAAGTACCTGGTCTGCCCATGATACCCGGATCGCCATCGAGACCGCGTTTTCCTTTCAGTCCCTCGAATCCAGTGTCTCCAATCGGACCTCTTTCGCCTTTCGCACCGTATCTTCCGGATATTCCAGGCGCGCCTGGCCTTCCCGGGAAACCAGAATTGCCTCGCTCGCCTTTAAATCCATCGGGACCCATATCACCGATTTCTCCCTGTGAAATTATAAATATATCTATTATTCCGAACTTTTAGCGATGATAAATTTTTCTCGCTACTTGAAGTGAAAAATTAAATCACAGGTGCTCATTAATTTTGTAAATTTAATAATAGCAAAGCAGTTATACAGTCGAAACAATTAATAACAAACCTACCTTCAAGCCATCGATACCATCGAATCCATCAAATCCGGCGTCACCTGGCTGTCCTTGCAAACCATTGAAACCATCAGTGGCCACTCCCGGCTCTCCCGGCAATCCCGGCCGTCCGTCGAATCCAGTCAAACCGGGCGGTCCGATCTCTCCCATAAAACCAGGTTCTCCGATCTCACCCTGAGGACCGCTGAAAGAGTTCTCGCCAGGAGCTCCCGGAAAACCTTCGATACCGATATCACCGAGCCGACCTTTGAATCCGGGTGGTCCTCTTACTCCCGGTGTCCCGGGGATTCCGACGTCTCCCGATTCTCCTTTAGGGCCAGGCGCTCCTTCTATACCGTTAGCACCGGGCCAGCCGATTGGTCCCGGCTCCCCGATATCGCCGAGTCCTCCTTTTTCTCCCGGAGCACCCGGTAGACCTTGTATACCATGCATACCCTGGTACCCCTGGAGTCCTGTGTCGCCATCGTCGCCGCGCCGTCCGATGAAACCGATTTCGCCCTTCAAGCCCTTCATTCCGTCAAAGCCGGAAGGACCATCAGGACCTAAAATAGTGAATTATTTTTTAGAAAATAAATTATTTTAAACATGGAAGAATAGCTCGTCTAAAATCTAAATCTTGAGACATATTTTAAAGAAAAAAATGATCTAGAATTCTATAATAATATACGATTTCAATACATCGCAGTAAAGTCTACCAAATGATATAATTTATTAATATTATTCATTTTTGTATTTTAAAATTTTATATCGCAACATTTGGTATGCCTAATTTTAGAATTCACATTTTCTTTACTGCGATTAAATTATTCATTCACGTCTCTATAGGAATGGCACGCTTATTTTAGATCATCAGCGTTATTTAGTCTTACTTACCACGCACACCAACGTCTCCAATTCTTCCGGGCATCCCAGGTTGGCCGAGTATACCTGGGAAACCTCGATCACCTTGTATACTATCTCCATGTTGACCTTTCGCTCCCTAAGTATCCATCAAATATTAAATTAGATATCTATTAAATTGACCGATTGTTACAATATATAAATCGCTCGCAGACGTTTAGTAAAAAGTTATTTTTCCACGTTGGCTAATTTTTCTGAGAATTTATAAAGAAGGATATACTCACTTGAAGTCCAGGCAAACCCTCGTAACCAAATGCTCCTTTAGCGCCTCTAACACCCTTCGGACCATCTATTCCTGGTCGTCCAGGGTTTCCTCGAGGACCAGCGTCACCGAAGTCACCCTTCGGTCCGTGCCATCCGCGCTCTCCAATTTCGCCGTAAGTTAGATTTGAGCCTGGATCTCCTCGTTCACCTTTGTTGCCGACGCGACCCTGTAGTAGATCCATGAATTATTCCACTTGTGTAAATTTGTTCGTGAAAAAAATTATTTTAATATATATATATATAATATAAATAAATAATTTAATATAATTAAAGTTGTTAATTTTGATAAATTCACTAGTGTTATTAAAGTAAAAATTGTTTGAATGCAATTTACTTACCGGGAAACCTACTGGCCCCTGCGATCCAGGTGAACCTGGCGAGCCACGAAGTCCTTGATCTCCTGGCATTCCAGGGTATCCCTTTAGGCCTGCGGAACCTTGAAGCGAAATACCCGGGGAGCCAGCTTCGCCAGGCAATCCTGGTAGACCTTCGTCGCCAGGATGACCTTGGAAGCCTTTGAAACCAGATTCACCTACGAATGCCGAGAATAATTTAGTTTCGATTTGAATTTTCATTCATTTCATTAATTAAACTTTTATGTAACATTTTCATATTGTACAACTTATACAAGTATAAACAACTCATACAGTATATAGAATTTATTGTATATACTGAGAAATCTCTTTTTCTACATACCGGGAGCTCCTCTGACACCTTTGTAACCCTTGTCACCCCTACTTTCTGCGGTGAATTCCGCAGACAACCCAGGTTCTCCTTTGTTACCCAAATCTCCTTGTATTCCTTTGATTCCCGGATTTCCCGGATATCCCGGATCTCCACGCAAGAACTCGATTGGTATCGAAGCATCCTCGCCTTTTTCGCCAGGAATACCGTCCCATCCCGGTGAACCATCCCTTCCTGACAATCCAGGAGCACCGTGTTCACCCTATAGATTAGCATCGCGCATTAGAGAGAATGAGAAAATAATAACTAATCAGCTTTGAATCTGTTATTGAAAAAAAAAATAATAACTGCTAAATCATCATATAAAATGTTGGAAAATGTTTTATAAGATTATTTATAAAAAATTTTTAACTGAATAGCTTATAAAAGTAAATGACCTTTTCTCCTTTCGGCCCCGGTACACCTGTGTCACCGATGGCACCTGACTTTCCTCGCGGACCTCGAAGTCCTTCAATGCCCGGTAATCCTTTTTCACCGATGTCGCCTGGCGGACTTATGTACTTTTCGCCCGGCGGAAAGAATATTCTTCCCGGTTCACCTTTCGGTCCTTGTATTCCCGCAATTCCAGACCTCCCACTGTCGCCATCAAGTCCAGCCGGTCCTTGTAGACCTCGTTTTCCTTGTATTCCCTTCAATCCTCGAGGACCAGGTAATCCTGGGAATCCTGAAGCTCCGGGATATCCGTCCAAACCAGATTCACCGCGTTCTCCTTTCTCACCAGGTAAACCTGTGCAATAATTGATACGAAATAGGTTTCTTAATTATTAATTCATACAAATTAGAATATCTTTTTTATGTTACATTTTTATTATTTTGTATAGTCGTTAAAAACCATCATAATTAATAATCTGCAATTCTATAATTAATACTTTTTTATAAAGAATATAATTAATATTATACAATATAGTCAATAATTTATTATTTATTTTTGATTTGCAATATAATGGTATAAATAACTGATGTTTATTGTTAATTTTTTAATTTAAAAATTTTATTTTATTTTATTTTATTTTATAATTTTATTTTATATTATAATGAGCGTTCAAATTTTCCAACCGATATGCGTTAGCTTTGCGGAACATATTTGTTTTTATTATTTCATGTTTCCGCTATAACGATTGTTTACTTTATATTATCACTGAAGATGGCCGAAATAAATGTGCCGAAACGTTTGAACATATAACTTAGTTAATTATTATTTTTTGAGCATCTAACACCTGGTTCTGGGTCAACACAGCTATTTTACATTTTAATAATTTTTTATTATTAAGGCCCAAGATTGACTTTTCTTTTATAATTGGTTAATTTAAAAAATCAGTTTTCTATTAACACTCGCAATTATATCTATTTATCTATTTACATTAAGAATCACGAAAAAAAAATTAAACAATTCATTAAGGTCGTCATGCTATCACTTGCCTGGTGCACACACGCCGCAATCGTCTCCTCGAAAACCTTTGAAACCCTTGCTGCCGGACAAACCAGGCCAGCCATCGAGACCAGGAATACCCGGCGTTCCAGGCAGACCTCGCTCTCCCGCTGGTCCCTGAATTCTTATACCTTTGCCGGGGAAACCTTTTTCTCCTGTTCGGCAATTATATTTATTCGTAATGAGCAATTAAAAATTGAATAGTGGAATGCTACAATAATTGTTTAACAATTGCATAAATATATAAATAATGATAAATAAATATTAATTTTACCTGGAGGACCAGGATCACCGCGATCGCCCGGTGGACCTATCAATCCAGGTCGACCCGGAGTGCCGTCTATTCCCGGCGGACCACTTATCGTCACACCTGGGAACCCTTTGGCTCCTATAATTCCGGGTAAACCTGATAGTCCGGGAGGTCCTTGAGGTCCCATGGATCCCGATAAGCCTGAAATAATTCATCAGCGAGCAATTATTATTTATACTATTTTTTTTACATAGTAAAACAAAATAGAGAAAAGCTTTTGTAAATTACGAAACGTACCGTCATCTCCTTGTTCTCCTTTTATGGATGATCCTTTCGCTCCTGGCAAACCAAAAATACCTGGAGGTCCTGGTGACCCTGGCGGTCCTATAAAACCGACCTTTCCTGGCAGACCAGGTGTTCCTGCTTCACCAGCCTCACCAGGTGGACCTGTATAAACAGCAAAAGTTTTAAAAGTCTTTTTAGCTAAAAATAAATTTTTTCTTGGTCTTAGTTTTTAAAAATATTAATATTATTCGAAAACAAACATATGAATTGCGATGACTCTCTTTTATTCTTCTATTATACAATAAATTATTAGTTAAAATAAGCTACTACTTACGTTTCGGCAGAAAAAAAAATCGGATTGCATTGCGTACAAATTTATGTTTAGAATTAATGATGCATTTAGATTAAATTGTACAGTGTGAAGATGGCCAAAACCTAAGGGCCGAAACGTATGTACAGTAATAAAGAATTGAAAATAATAGAGCACGTTAAACCACAGCTCAGGTTCTAGTAGCTTATTTGAACTAATAATTAATATTATTTTTTTTAATATAAAAAAATAAATTCTCTACCAATATAATACAGATTGTATGTTTGTACTGACCAAGATCTCCTTGGATTCCGATGTTTCCGGCGATTATCTCATCAAGCTCTGGGATATATCGTCCAGGTTCTCCCTCAGCACCTTGTCTACCAGGCTGACCGCGATTTCCTTCCTCTCCTAGTTCTCCCTTTTATAATGAATTAATGTACAATTATATACAATTCGTCTAACATTGTAGACTGTGAAATTTATATTTAACTCCATTCATTAAAAATGCTGCGATATTAATAATTTTAATTTTTAAATTAAGGCTTCTTCATTAAGTTGTGTACAATGCGCTTACATCGACACCATCCGCACCGGGCAGCCCAGAGAATCCTGGAGCTCCTTTCTCTCCCTTCTCACCAGCCGGGCCTGCTGGGCCCTCGACACCTTGCTTACCTCTTGGTCCATCGTCACCTTGTTCACCTTTCACACCTTTGATACCCAAGAAACCCGGTCGACCCTAAACAATATACATTTTATTTGAACTCAAGGTGTGTTTTAATTTTATTTTCAACTAAATTAATTCGCGCGAAACAGTCGCATAAATTTTGTATATGACAAGTAGAAAATTGCATCGAATGCAGTTTTTTAAATGCTACGCTTAGTATTATAATCACATTTGGCACAACACAATCACCTGTGGTCCTTTGGTGCCCAACTCTCCTTTGCGACCTCGATTGCCATAATTGCCCCTTACACCTTTCGGCCCCGGCTGACCTTTCACAGGCGTCGACTTTGGATTTTTTTTATATTCGTCCTTACCCGGCGATCCAGGCTCTCCTCTGTCTCCCTGCTCACCAGGTTGACCCTTCACACCATACACGGCGTCACCGCGATCACCTTGCAGGCCTGGCAATCCAGGAGCACCTGGCCAACCCTAGAGAAGCATCGTCTTCGCTTTATCATTTACAAATACAATTCCCCAAAAATATTTCAACATTATTATATTTTTAAAATAAAAATATTTTGAAGTGATATTCTCAAATATATCAAGTCCCCTCTTTCTTCAATTTAAGCACATTTAAAACATATTAATAAGGATATTTGGAAAATAATAATTTGAAAATATATTAATATTAACGTATTTCGAAATGTTGATGTGTATTTGGAAATTAATCTTTGGATCGGATCTAAATCTGATTTAAAGTTGAGCAATTCGACGCGACTCTCTCGAGACACCCGATATATCTTGATGCGGTTCTATATGTTGCACACGCATTACGTTGAAGTTACATCTAGCGTGGCAGAGCGTAAGTGCATGTATTATGAGTCCATTATAATGCTAATTTAAGTGCACGTCCTGGGCCATCCCTGTTTATTTTTACTACGAGCGAAATGAAGCTATCACACACACGCTACAAGAATATATCAATCGCCGCGCAAAACATCATATTTTGCTTCCATTAACGTGCACAATTACATTCTAAAATTAAGATTTAGAGGAATATCCTTCAATTATTATTATTATTATTACATATGTAACAATATGATACTGAAAGATTTATCTAAATCCTTTTACTGGATAAAAATAAAAAATGATAAATCAATATATTAAAATTAACACCAGTCGATCTATTGTTTATTTGTTAAAAAAGTGTGAATTTATTATATCATCATAATTTGTCGAATTAATTGTTGATTCGTTTTCCATTAATTCAGAAGAAAGGTGCCAAATGGAGGTTTGTACCATTTTAGAGATTTACTTATGCAATTGCAGCGCGATCAACATATTATCAATGAGAGAACCGGTTTCCGGTAGTCGATTGTCTTAACGGTTCGCTCTTTGCTGAGGGTCAACAAAAAGGAGGATCCGGACTCGTCGGATTTTTTTAGAAGACGTTGGTCCCGCCGGGTAGAATCTTCTCTCCGTCATCTCGAGAAGAGAGACGGCTCTCGCGCTATCAGCGACAGTCGTGTCAGCAGATAGCAGCCGACATCGGGCGCGACGTTTCGGATTTCAGCGGATCGTTTCGTATTTAGCGATTAAGTACGGGGAATCCTCTTTTAATGTCTTTTATTTGATTCTTTACGTTCTTGTTGATACGTTCAAAATTATTTCTAATAAAAGACACAGTTTCATTAATAATGTCGTTTAAAAAATATTCCGCAGTATCTGTCACATTGTGAGAAATGTGTCTTCCGTCAGTAAAGCTATGATCTTCCGCGAGAAGTTATCGCTCGTAATAAGCTGCGTCAAGCGAATCGCGAACGAGAAAACACTTCCTACGTGCAGTGGTGAAAGTAGCTGATAAGTAGCAAGTATGTAGCGTAAGTACTGCGTAAGTACACACGCTGGGAACATTAAACCTTCCTTCTTCTTGTGCCATAGGGAGTACGTGAATTCATCGCGTACGTAATTCAACCTTGCTGGCGTAACCCGGCTGCAAGTGATGCAGATAATTTTCGAGAAGCCATCGTGTCTACTATGCGCTATAAGAATCTCGTAAAGTTTTGTTGTCGTTTATACGAGCCGAAATACTTGATGATGTCACTGCATCACGTCGCATTACTATGCGTTACTTATGCTTCTCGAATCACGCAATTGCAATCGAAAGATGTTCAATCTATTGTTTTTTCATTGTAAGCCATTAATTTTATTTATTTTTCTTCATTTAAACTTAGTTTCTTATTTTATTTTTAATTTTTTCTCTTCTTTTATTCTATATTAGTATATCAATATTTATTTCTGGACAAGAAAGTAACATAAAAATAGCTATAATTGAAAAAAGATGATCGATTCTTAAATTGCAAGTCTTTAATTTTTAAATTTAAATCTAATCTTTTATTTACTATTTAATTTTTCCTCTTTTATTCTAGTGTATCACTATATTATATGTTTATTTCTAGGCTTTCTCTCTCTCTTTAATAAAAATAGTAGAAGAAATAGCTGTAACTAAAAGAAGATAATTTATTTTCTTAAATTGCATGATCTGTGATTTATTCTATTTTCTTTAAACTAAGTCTGATATTTTATTTTCTTCTATTTTTGTATATCAATGTATATTTTTTGGCTCTCTTTTCGGCTATATTTTAGTATAAGAAAATGGTGTAAAAATAGTCTCTATTGGCGATCAATACTGATCAATCATTTCTTAAAATTTGCAACTTATTATTTTTATTCTTGTTATTTTTTCTTTTTTTTCAATTATTCTTAAAAAAAACTCCCATTGCTCACTTTGTTGCATAATCGAGACGCATAAGAATTGTCTTTCTTTCGGAACGTTTATTCCGACAGGCGCATTTCCGTCTAAAGCTCAGACGAGCATTCGCACTCGTGTTCAAAGACGACTTTTAACCCGCTGCGTGTAAGAAGATTCCTCGAAGCGGTGCTTATCGCGCGATATCGCGGCGCAGAATTCTTTCGGATTCTTTCCACCTCTTTTCTTGCTTTTTTACCCGGTACCTGTTAAATATTGCCGGGGAATACTTTGGCCGGCAGACAATATTTCATGCGAGTAGGTAGTGTCTCGCAAAAAGGAACGAGAGGTGTCCCGAGCGGGCTCCTCTCTCGTTTCTGTTTCTTCCTCATCTTCAGGGACCGAATTCTAAACGCTCATGCGAGGTTTGCCTCGAGTTGGCGCCGATCGACTAGCGTTGCAATATCCTAAATAACTGTATCTTAAACAATTGTATATATATATATAATTTTCTTATTACTTACAAAGTCGCCTGTCTCTCCTGGATAACCCGTTTCACCAGTGATCCCCTGCTGTCCTCGATAACCCTGGAAACGCGAACACGAGCTTTAAGGTCGAGGACTACAATCGTACAAGCGGATTTAACGGCAATATTATATTTGCGATAGTGCCGTGAGAGGCAATATGTGTACTATACGTGATAACATCACAAAGAGATCAATTTCATCCATTTTACTTATATATACATTTATTGTTATTTATTTTATTTTATTTAAATTTATTTTACTGCAAAGTTCACTTTTTGATTATAAATAATACATTAAACGTTAATGTTACATTTTAATTAAAATGTTACAGAAGTATATATGTGTATAATAATATGTGTAAAGAGAAAATCACATAGATTTAAACGGACGATGTATGGTGCGTATAATTTGAAATAATTCGAGATTTAATAACAATCAATAACGAAAAAGATACAATTGTATCATAATATCGTTATCAAACATATAATATAATGTGATCGTTAATTTAATTTATTTTAATTTCAGTATCATGCAGAACCCGATAAATTAATGTCATATAAAAATAAATCACATGTCCAATATATATCAAATGTTCCATATTTTGGAGACGCATTTATATATTAATATTGCCAATGCAGTGGTTTAAAATCAATAATATCTAATCATATAAGACGCGAAACGCTCTTACCTCCTGTCCGTCGATACCAGGATTTCCGCGAATTCCTTTGGCGCCGACCGAGTTGATGCCTCCATCACCAGGCTCTCCTGGGGGGCCATAATCTCCCGTAGGTCCTTGTGAACCACGTGGCCCGAAAACTCCAGGCATGCCCGGTGCACCGCCACGACCGTCGGTTCCGTTGCATCCATCCAGTCCATCCGGACCCACCACTCCGAGTATTCCCGGATTACCCTAAAGATCATTTGCTACAGCTTTTCTGAATAATAAATTCATATTCCTATGCGTGCTCCTCAAACTTGAGTGTAATAATGAATAAATAAAACGCTAAAGCGTCCTTAAATTCCATTCATCACAAGTCTAAAATATTATTTTTTCATCATAATATGGAGAAAATTTGTCAGAAACAAATATTTTTAATTAGGGTTTTTTAAAAATCCAATTATTAGATTACGTTAGAAATTTGTGTCATATTTATCTTAAAAGAATAATTGAATAATTTATCTCAGATTATCTAAATTGCACTAATAACATATACATGAATAAAAGTAGTAAAGTAAAATTGTATATTTAATTATTAACGAGAATATAAAATAGATATCTCTGTATTTGATTGCAGATTTTGATGTAGTTTATTTCAGAAAGTGATAAAGTAGTTTATACGTACGGAAAGTCCTGGGACTCCCACAAATCCTCGTATACCATCTTCACCCTGAATGAAAGGAAAAAAGCAGAAATTATAATAAATGCATAATTTTTCACAATTTTTAACAATTACAAAAATGCATTGTTGGTATATATTTTATTTAGCATAAAAAAAAACAAATATAGAAAGTTTTTGTGTAAAAAAGTGTGAAAAAGCGTATGAAAGTAGTTCAGGTATAGCATAGCCGCGGCGAGCAGCGCGCAAAATTTACTATGCAAATTTCGATTTCCTACTATTGTTGCCTGTGATATAGAGAATGTCAATATTTTTATCTTGTAGATTTATCTTTGATTTTCTGTTTTCACTTATTCTTAAACAATAAATTTAATCAATTAAAAAATAATTTTTCCGCGTCTAGCACTAAAAAAATAAAAAATGTTAATTTTAAATAGCAATAACTTACTAAAAAGAAAATCATAGCTCAATCTCTAAAAAAGTGTTTTGAAGAAAAGACTTCAAGTTTCAAAAAAATTTTAAACAAAAAATTAAAAACCTAAAAACTTATAAAATTTTTTTACTTTACGCACACATGATTTCAATGTTAAAATTTTTTTATCAATATTTTACAATCAACTTGTAAGTAGCACCACTTAAAACAGAAACATTATCGAGGAAAAAGCTCGGATAGGGTTTGAAAACTGAGGTTTCAAAATGCTTTTTGAAAATTACTTTATGGTAATTTCTCGCGAAATAAATTTGTTTTTCATTATAATTTGTATTTCGTCATTATCGTGTAATCGAAATTGTTTTAATAATCAGAAAATTTATGTCAGTCGTAAACTGTTGGTTTTTAACAATACTTCGTCCAAGATTTAAGTATCTGATCCAGAAAATCCAACGAGATTTATTTTGGAGTAACAAAAAATACCACTAATCATAATTTATTTTACAGCATAACACAATTTATTTTAATACTCTATGAATATTTACACACGCTTTTAAATAAAACTTAACTTCCGTAAAGCCGACTTTGCGCCGAGCTCTTCTGCAATCGATCTTTATTATCCCCATGCTCAATTATAATTAACGCCACTGTCGCCGCGTTCAAGTACATCTCGCAATGAGTACATCGTTGCAATTGCAGATATGATTGGCGTCGTATCCTTGATTCGGAAGAAGGTCGTTCGAGTTGTCGGCGTTGCCGTGCCACCGTCGCCGCGGTGCGATTCGAGGAGTGCGCGATTGTGCTCGCGTCCGGGTCAAGATCGTAAAAGTGCGTCGTGAAGCGTGCGTATGCAAAATGCAACTGGAAGCGCGGGGCATAAAATATAAATGCATCGCCGCCGGCGTCTATTGCGCTCAATTCGAGCTAGTTAAAGGGCGACGATGCAACCGCATCGGCACGTTCCCGCCTAATTAGCGGTGCATCAAGGCATATTCTCTTCACGTCGTTTACACACCCGAAGAATATGTTTCTCGTCTCGCAGCACCCAACGTGATAATGTTCCGGACGGAGAATTGCTCGCTTGTGAAATTTTCACGCTTGAAAAAACTTCGAAGCGCTTATTATTACTCGAATTCTTATTATTGCTTCTTTTTCTTTCTCATTATTATTTATGAATCTTTATGTTTTCCTCCTTTCCGATGAAGATAGAATTGATTGAACGTAATTGATTGTGACATAATGATTCAACATATTAGAGAATCTAAATTATTTTGAGATAATAATTAAGATATAGATTTCTAAAGAAAAATAAATGTTTGAGTTTGTGTAAAAGCGAGAATCGGCTAAGGAAGTGAAATTCTGTAACAGTGGAAAAATCGTCTTACGGCATTCATGTTAATTCTCGCGGAAAAAACGTTTGTAGTAGAAGCTAAACAGATGGATTTTACAACTACTCGTCGGCTTTTTCGCATCGTCCCACACGGCGTAATTCGCGGCTGGACGTCTTGTGCGGCTGTTGCGTGCGCGGTTGCAACGTCATTACTTGTCCCCTTTGAGTTTTAGCATGTTTACTTCGTTCCCTTTTCCGTTTTAGCGTTTCTTATTTGTCGAGAGTGAGCTTGAATCTCTCTCCGCGCAGATCTCACTGCATTCGCAGCGAAACACTTGGTACTTTTAATAGC